AATCCGTGGTACAGTCCTTCTGAGTTTTTCTTCTCTAGGACTACTTATTAGCCGTGGCCGAAGACAGGCATGCGACAGCATGGAACAGCAAAAGAGCCGGTAATCGTACACTGCGATTTTGCGCAAAGAACAAATATTGGTAGTAACTTTAAGGAGCAATTAAACTGAAATAGACTGCCTACTGGCGAACATGAATTCACGAAGCACTGGTGAGTGTTATCACTGGCAGCATCCTTGGCAATTCTTTGAAAATAACCAGAAAATGCGAGCTGATTTCAGTGTTATCAGGAAAGTGATAGTGATGCTCGTGAATTCAGTGACTGGCTCTTCCTTGTTTGTTATCTCCCAGCAAATTTTTACTGCCAAAAAAGGCCATTTCCTACCGAAACGTCATTTGGTCATTTTGTTGCTAGCATCTCCAAATACGACAGCACTATGCCGCCAAGCTGTGTTCGTTTTCTGCGGACCGCTTGATTTCACTTCCAAACATTCCAGCACAAAGTTACCGCTGAATCGAAAAGCAACAACAACAGAAATCGTTTCATTTGGCGCCAGCTCCATCAACCACCACATCACTCTACATTTAATACAAATTTTGCTAAAATCAAAAATAAAGTCACAAAAATCGTCTGATAGCTTTTTGAGAAGGCTTTTCATGAATTACATCTAGTTCGGATTTGCCAAATAATCCGTTACAATCAGCTGCAACTTCATCATGATGTAGCTAACAATCGCTTTTCTGTGGCTGCTTCGACCGAACCTGGTGCTTTGCTTGGCCATCCTGGCTTTGTTTTTTTCCTTTCTTTTTTGATTTTTTCGGGAAAAAAAACATTGCCCCATCCACCACTGACACAGTCCTACAACAAACACATCATTGATTTTCTTGAACTACATCATAACGTCCCGGATCCATAAAAAATGTTTTCCGCTGCGCTATCTTTAGCGCTGTGAGATGTTTTTGTGTCTTTTGTGTTTCGCTTCTTATGTACTAAGCGCATGGCATGTGTATGTGCTAGTATATATGTGTCCTGCTTAACAATTGAATAAGATGTGGGATGGAACTGGACTTCGAGTCTTCAGTGGAAGGCGACAACGTGCCTCTCATTTTACAAAGAATTTATTGATTTTCTTTTTTTTTTTTGCTTGAAGTGTGTAGGATGGAGAGGAATTCTGGGATAATGTGTAACTCAGTGAGTGCAATAGCATCTGTCAAATGCTCTGCTCAACTGGGTCATAAATTAGCGTTAAAAAAACTTCTGGCTCTTCTCGATAGCATGCTTTTGTAAAAGTCATTTTAAGCTTGACTGCGGTGGCTCTCTTACTTCACTTTCTTATCAAAACGATTTCGAGGCAGGCATTAACGCACTTGTAATAAAACATATTTGTGTATTACATTGTTGTTTCATCTTCTTACTGATGCAGCTAGCAGCTTCTCCACTTTCCATACCACCTCTACCTCTCATATCACCTTTCCCAGTTTCCGTTCTTCCACTCTATTTAGCACCACGTTTTGCGTTTTGACTGCTTTCAATATAATCGTACAAGGAAAGTATGCGCAACTGTCACTCCTAAGGCCCTTTCTTTGAATTTTTTTTGGTAAATTTTC